CAATCATCACACACCGGGGCGCTTTCCGTTGCCGCAGATTGCAGTTTGGGGTCAGCATTGCCCCAGGACTGTTCCAGAGTTTGATGGAGCGGCTGCTCCAAGGACTCAGAGGCGTCGTTCCCTATTTTGACGACGTCCTCGTGTCAGCCACCTCCATGGATGAACTAATGGCCCGGTTGCGCTTAGTCCTCCAACGTTTCCAACAAGTGGGACTGAAGGTCAAGAGAGATAAGTGCCAGGTTGCGGTAGCCCAGATAGAATTCCTTGGTTTTCTCATTGATGGCAGTGGCATCCACCCCACGGCTGCCAAGACCAAAGCCATTGTGGAGGCCCCTGCCCCCACTAACAGAGCTGAATTACAGGCCTTTTTAGGCCTACTCAATTTCTATGCTGTGTTCCTGCCCCACAAGGCATCAGTAGCTGAACCACTCCATCGCCTCCTGGACTCAGACGCACCCTGGATCTGGGGCCGCCGAGAGGCATCCGCTTTCCTAGCTGTCAAGCACCTACTCATTTCCAACGATGTTCTCGTACAATACAGCGAACACTTGCCTTTCGTGCTCGCTTGTGACGCTTCCCCCTACGGGGTGGGCGCCGTTCTTTGCCACCAGCTACCCAGCGGGGCAGAGGTGCCAGTTGCATACTTTTCCCGCACGCTCTCTGCCTCTGAACGTAACTATGCCCAAATTGACAAAGAGGCTCTTGCCATTGTGGCCGGGGTGCGCCGGTTCCATCATTATTTGTACGGCCGGCCATTTCAAATTGTCACCGATCACAATCCATTACTAGGGTTGCTCTCCGGAGATCGCCCTGCCCCTCAGGTCCTATCCCCACGCATGACCCGCTGGTTTGTGTTCCTCGCCTCCTATGACTACCAGCTGCACCACCGGCCGGGGAAGCAGATCGCCCATGCCGACGCACTCAGCCGTTGCCCTCTGCCGGAGGCCCCAGAAGACCCTGCTGCCGTGGCACCTGTGTTCCTTATTGACGACCTCAACCTTCCAATCTCTGCCGCCGACATTGCCCGGTTGTCCGCAAGGGATCAGATAATATCCCGGGTACTAGACTGGGTTAGGCGAGGGTGGCCGAAAGACCCCGTAGACCCCGTTTTCCTTCCCTTCAAATCACGCCTGGCGGAGCTGTCCATCCAGCGCGGCTGTTTACTGTGGGGCCATAGAGTAGTCGTGCCTGCCTCACTGAGGACTACCGTCCTGCAGCAGCTGCATCACCCCCACCCCGGAATTGTCCGGATAAAAGCCTTAGGCAGGAGCTACGTCTGGTGGCCCAAGCTCGACCAAGACATAGCCGACCATGTCGCCGGGTGCCCGCAATGCCAGTGCGCCCAAGGCTTGCCGCCAAAAGCCGAGCCGCGAACATGGGAACCACCATCCACTCCCTGGTCCCGGGTCCACGTTGACTTCGCAGGCCCCATTCAGGGCCGCATGTTATTCATTGCTGTGGACGCCTTCTCGAAATGGGTCGAGGTCGTACACATGTCCTCAACCACAGCAGACGCGCTCATCGTGACCCTGCGCCACCTCTTTGCCACCCATGGCCTACCCGACGTGTTGGTGTTCGACAACGGGCCACAACTGACAGCTGCCAAGTTTGAGGCATTCCTGGCTTCCTAGGGCATCCGACATGCCCTCACCTCCCCTTTCCACCCCTCTAGCAATGGCTTGGCGGAGCGCTCCCCTGGCAAGAACGCATTAACGCCTTCTTGCTGGCCCATCACTCCACTCCCTTGCCAGAATCCAATACGAGCCCAGCTGAGCTCCTCATGGGACGCCGGTTGCGAACAACCCTTGACCGCTTGCACCCTGCCTATTCCACCCCAACACCCTTGGATTTCCAGGGTGGGTCCCGCTCCTTCGTCCAGGGGGAGGCAGTGTATGCCCGGAATTATGGAGGGCATCCCTTGTGGCTACCGGGCGTAGTAACTGACCAGATCGGGCCCTGCTCCCACAGGGTCAGGCTCCACGACGGCAGAGTTTGGAAACGCCACTGCGACCAGTTGCGGAACAGACGCCAACCACCAACCGGCCAGCAGCCATCAACCGACCTCCCAACTCTGGAAACTCCGAAGGGCGATGCAGGGCCCAGAAACGAGGAGTCCGACAGAGAACAAGCAGCCAGAGCCCCAAACCGAAGCGGCGACTTACTTGGAGGGCCAGCACCGTCCTTTGCTCTTCGACAGCCCGGGCAATCACCATCCTCCGATGCAGAGTCCTCGGGCGAGCAACCAGAGCCTCCAGGCAGTGCAGAAGGGCCTAGGGCATCCGGCCGCATCAGGCAGCATCCAGCATACTTACAAGACTACGCTTGCGCGAACTTAGGGGGGAGGAGTGTCACGTTCTGAGCATGCGCTAAAATAAGAGTTTAAGCGGGAAAGCGCTCGACA